GACTAAATTTTGATCCCTGAAATTCTTGGTAATACCAATGTTCACTTTGTCTGGTTTTGTTGCAGCATGCCCCATATCTTCATTCTTATTATTTTTCTTTTTCTTGGTATATTTCATAAGTAATCTTTCTTTTCTTAGATAGGTTTCAAGTGTCCGAGTATCATTTTATTTTGAAAATATAAGGAGCAATTTTTTTCACCTTGTTCCTTTTTCAAAACACTTCCAATGGTGCTGTAATTCTTGGGTTCCATGGTAGACCTAATATAAATTAGCTTCATACTAACTATTTTGTCTAGACAAATATCATGATCACATTATATTGTAATACAATTGTGATGTTAAACAAACACTATTGATCCCTAAAATTTTTGGTTCACTTTGTCTGGTTTTGTTGCAGCATGCCCCATATAATAGTGCGATCTGCAACATAGTAAAATTTTTCCCTCTATTCAAAAAATTCAACAAACTTGTTTAATCAACTTTAATACCAATTTAAAAGTGTCATTAAAGTTATTTATAAAAATCCATACTGTTTTTTTTAATAAAATGTTAAAATATTACTCTTCTAAATAGCTACATCAATGAATAATAAAAAAATATACATTTCATATAGTAATATAATAAATTTCGGCATTAAAATAGGTTCTTAATTTACCTTTAGTCTCCCGATTTATATAATTAACATTCTAATAATAAAAAGCTCCTCCAACTGTTACTGATATTTCATGACCAACCAAATCGTACAACGTTTTTTCCGTGACGGTCAAGAACGTTGCATGGATCGTGTTAAATGAGATCAACTTGCCTGCCCTTTTTTTTCATGTAGGCAAAGCCGTGTGTGTGGATCGTTCTGCGGTTTTGAAATTCATCACGTTCGAAGATTTTTTAAAAATGTGAATATTTAAGTTATCTATAATATCCTAAATGATAATATTTTTTAAATATTTAATTATTTGCTGAATAATGTATCTGCTCATTCTATTTTGTTTGTGTTGCTTATATAATTAAATAGCTTATACCATTGAATAATAGAGAAATACTCATTTTTCACGCTAGAGAATTTACATTTAATAAACTAAATTTTATTTTATTGGTAAAATAGTATTTTCCCACCTAGCCCTCTTGTATCACAATGATTTTCTTGTAAAAACTCGCCCCGTATCACTTTGATAAATAAAAATAAATGAATAATAACAATGTCTAAAGAAAATCAACAACGACAACAACAAAAATTTGTTGGATCAGTCGGATTATTGGTTTGTGATTTTGATGAAACAATTACGATAAAAGATTCAGTATGTGAAATAGCAAAGTTAGCGTATGAAAAAAGACAAGTGGGGAAGGAGTTATTATTAGACGAAAAGGATGAGGAAGAGAAAATATATAATCATTGTAATTATGATGGTAGTAGTAATTTTGATTATAATAATATTAATAATAATAATCATAATAACATTAATAATGAATGTTCAGCAACTCTTCCACCTTGGTCATATTTCGCGAAATTATATTTTGAAGAACGTAAAGAGCACATTAGAAAATGGAATGAACAGAATTTAGACAAGACATTAAAGGATCATTGCAGGTTATTAGAATCTTTGAGACAAGTAGAAATGCTATCTTATAAACGAATCGAAGAATTTAAATGTTTGGAGGGAATTGGTAATTGCGAATTATTTAATCAAGGAAAAGAAAAAATTGAAATCAAAGAATATGCCATTGAAGTATTAAAAGGATATTTGACTAAAAGAAGAGGGGAGATGAGGAGAAGGGATGATGATGAGGATGATGATGAAATTGTTGTTGGAAGGAATTTTTATATACTGTCAACAAATTGGTCACCAGATTTAATGTTGGGATGTTTAAATGATTTGAAGGGCTTATTAAGAAAAGAAGATATTTTGAGTAATAATTTAATATTTGATACTGATAATGATGATGATAGTAATAAAGAGCGTTTCACAACAGGTATGATGAAATGTGACGTGCTTTCAGCTATTGATAAATTAAAAATCTTTAATAATCTGGAAATACCAAAGAATACACTATCAGCTTATATCGGTGATTCCGAGACTGATTTACCATGTTTATGTGAGTCCAATTATTGTTATCAATAGTCTTCATAACAAATAATAATAATAATCTTCATAATAACGGTATTTTAACTCCAAAAAAAAAAAAAAAAAAACTAGTAAAAGCAAATATTGGAATCATCATGGGAAATAATCGTTCTTTGACAAAAACATGTGAAAAATTTGGAATCGAGATTAATGAAGGAATAAATAAAATACAGTCAACGTCACCTTATGATAATAATAATGACGACGACGACGACGATGACAACGATGAGTATGATTATGATATAAAGTTCTTTAATAAGAAACTTTATCGTGTACAAGGTTGGAAAGAAATTTATGATAGTAGTTTATTGTAAATTATTATGTAATATAAATATTTGATTAATTAATGAATGAATAATTGGATTAATGGATTTTTGGATGAAAAACAAATGCTATTTTTAACTTTTTTTTTTAATCTATAAATAATTAAAGTCTAAATTTTTTTTAATGTTTTAAAACCTACCTAATTATATCTTGCCTTTTTTAAATTATAAAAAAATAAAAATATTGATTTTTTTTAATCTCTCCCCTAATCTTAACATTCCTATGATTCTTCCTAATCTTTCTTCTCCACCATTTCTCATCTAATCTATTTTAATTTCTCTAGTATCATCTTCTATTATGACTTGACACATGAAATAAATGGACTGGAATAAACCTTTAACTATGGAAATCTCGATTGTTTTGATTAGATTGCTAAAACACCACCAACAACTAATTATAAATAATACTGAAACCAATACCGGCAAGCATAACAAAATTATTAAAGTGCATATGACAGCATAGAGTCTTTGAAAAAATCTAGCATCTTTGCCAAAACTTTTTGAATTATAAGTTTTTAAACATTCATTTTTCAAATCAACATATAATTTTGTTATGAACAAATTCAAGCTGTATAAGGCGTTCAATGGAATAATGATTGTTGGAAATAAGGGTGATATTATTAACGGATAAAATATTGACCAAGGATAAATGTCAATCTTTCTTTTGACCGGCTTCTGAGACCTGGAGACTAACTTGGGAATAATTAAAGAATACAAATTCCAAATCGATCTGTTTAAATTTATTGCTTCTTTGAATGGATGAATGATTTGCGATTCTGTGACTTCTTGTTTGAATTCCTTCAATAATAAATAGTATAAACTTAAAGATGATGAAAGTGATGATGAATACGACGAAAGTGATGAGAAATCATTCTCAATTATGAAAAATTTATAAGGTAAATAAATTATTGCTGAAAATGAAGATATCATATAATACGGATATTCGTCTGCTTTGATGTGTAGTATTATGGGTGAAATTAGAGTGATGAATAAACTATAACTATAACAAAATAATATAATGATAGGCAATAATATTATGGTGTAAAATAATATGATTAATGGCGATATTATGAATAAGCTAAACTTTATATATGAACCAAATTTCTGGTTTGTTAGGATGAATTTGAAAAGGTAATAGATTGAAGGTGAATACCAAAATACGATACTGAAAGTGGTTGGAACTATGCATAGAAACGAAATTGGGATTATGTATATTGAAAAATCTATGATAACAAGTATGATGCTTATTAATATATTATTATTTGATAATATTGTTGAATATTTATTATTATTATCATTTAGATTTTGATGATACAATTGTTGTTGTTGATGATATTGTAGATGTTGCAGATGTTGTTGATTTTGATGTATTCGTAATTGAGATTGAAATTGCTGATTTTGAAGTTGAGATTGAAATAGGTTTTGTTGATTAGCTGTTGTCGTTGTCATTTTTAATATTTTTAATTTGTATTAATTATTATTTATTTATAGAAAACAAGGTGGAAAAATTATATAAAAAAATTTTTTTTTTCAAGGGAAAAAAGAATTTTATTATATAAAGAAATTTTTTTTTAAATTGACAGCTGAAATTCGCATGATTTTTTTTTTTCGACTTTAGCAATAAGAAGAAAAGTACAATTTTTAAAACTCAGCATTCATTTTATATAATTGATCTAGATTCTTTTAAATAACCCGATTCGTTATCCAAGTATTTCTCATGCTTTTTTAATATTTACGACAAATTTTTTCATTGTGTGAATTTTAAAGATGACAGTACACAGTATAAATATGTTAAATATGATAACGATAAATATGCATATAATCAGTTATATTAATATACATGTAATATATGTGTGCTCATACAATAAAATAAGACACGTTGTTCTGAAGTGATTTTCTTTGTGTTTTAACATAAAATAAAGTTTTCAAACATGTGTGATCATCATTGAAACTGAACCTACCCCAAAATTGTATATTCCGTTAAGGAAAGAGTAAAGAGGATCATTGACAGAATTTCAAAAAACATTGTTGTACGACGAACGTAATGTTAAAACCAGATTCATACTAATACATGTACACCATAAATATCCGACCACACAAGTTGTGTAACGTCAAATGAAAAGAGTCCTTACTAAAAAAGTAACGTTTTCTTAAATAAAACCTTTTTTACTTTACTAAGTAGATTTGTACTTGATATCAAAATCTCTAAATTACAAAAGCTTCGAAAGGTTCGGTATGGTATTAATGGAAACATTTAGCAAATAGTCCAAAAAAGCAAATTTTCAATCGGAATCTTTACATGTAATAAAGGTCAAATTTCTTCATTAATAAAATGTGTTCAACGTAACAGATTACACATATCTACAATATGATGTTGGCATAAATTAGTTCGTGAAAAGGGTTTAAAAAAGTATCCGACCACCCCGTAATTTTATTATAAAGTTGACAAAATGCAAATTTTAAGGCTTTACGTTTTGTTGTTTATACTTGATCAAATTTTCTCAAATTTTAACCATATATAATTCAAGATATTTAAAGTGGACTTACCTAATGACGTAATCCATTATTCAACAGAGTTTTGAATGTTTTTACTAAGCTCAAAGTTTTCATAAAAATCACGGAATTTTGTCTAATTTAAAGTTTTCATCCTAAATTCATTAATAATGCAAGCTCGACGAGACTTTAAGTTTATATGCAAAATTAACATTTAAAAACATGTTTACTTAATGCACCAGTCCCGGTTTGATTAATAAAATTTTGAACTGCATAAGGCGTAACATTTCCGATTATTAAAGTGATCATCAGGTGGTCGGATATTTATGGTAGGGGAGTGTATATATACAAATATTTTAAATTCAAGGATATAATTTATCATTCTTTGATCAAAAAATCTTTGGATTATTATTATTATTATTATTATTATTATTATTATTATTAAAGAGGGACAGGCGGATGATTAAGTAATAATAAATTAACGAGTAGTTAATTGGTGAAAATTTAACGCGTTTTTTTTTTATTATGCATTGCATATGGGCTGATTTTTTACACTCTCATGCAAAAATCTACCAAAAAATTGCCATAATAGAAATCACGCCCTCATGGAAAAAAAATTAAATTTCCAACTAGAGATCGACAAGATAATATCCTTTTCTTTGTTATTTTATTGAAAAAAAAAGTGCATAATAATTATGTATAAAATTCATATTCTTTATTAATTTGATGATGTTTAAGAGAAAAGAGTTCTTTATTTATTCTATCATAATTTGTATATAATAATTTACAGATACCTGTTTTTAGAACTAATATCAATATCAACTGCTGCTGCTACTATTATGGTATCAATAACAACAGCTATAATATTATTAAGAATGAACTCTTTAATAAAATCATTTCGTTTTTACACTACAGCAAATTCATCATCATCATCTAATACTAATTAAAATATCGTAAATAATAATAATAATAATGACAACAACGACTTAAATCCTAACAATTCAAATTCAAATTTTTATGAACCATCAACTGATGTTATTGATCTATCATCACCATCAACTGCTGCTGCAGTTTTGGCTGAAACAGGCATGAAATGGGTCATTAGGATTGGTGAATTCTACACCAATAGGATTTCCTGAAGTTTTGTTAGAAACATTACATGTTACGTCAGTTTTCAACAATAGTAGTGACAAACATTACTATTATGTATGGCTTTCATAACGTCAACTTGCAAAAGTTAACCGGAATTCAATGTATTGAATGAACAGCTAAAAAAATCCGTCGAAATAATTCAGTGAAATCATTAGAATTAAAGATGGGAATCCTTAATTTTTGTATAAAAAACATAATGTCAGTTCAATTCAAGGCTTAAGCACCACATTTATTCAGGTGCCAATACTGCTTTGTTTTTTTGGGGGAAATATTTCTAAGGTTGATGTACCAGACCTTAAAATTGGTAGTTTCAAGATTTATCTTTATCTGGTCATTGCTACATTTTACCACTGCAAGTTTCTATATAATGATGGAGGTAACAATATATATATACATATATATTTAGAATAACAAACATAGTAATATTAAACAACAAAATAGATTGGATTGAGGACAACACCTAATAGTTCTCCAAATTTAAATATGTAAATTTTTTCCATGTAATGACTTTAGTTTCATTTCGTTACTTTTAGTAAGATTATTTATTTATTTCCTATCAATGTCACGGAAAATAAAAAAGCAATAATAGTACATCTTGTGAGCTCATCAACAATTAGTTCATTACAAATAATAATAATGAATTCCGACATCGTGTTAATTTACCAGAACTTGAAAACTAATCAAAAGACGTCATTTAATTCACGGGAAAAAAAAATTTTTAAATGAATCGTTAAAAAATGGAAAACTTTTCAATAAATTATAGGATAATAACAGCAAGAAAATTTCGAAGTTGACGAGTGAATTGGCGAACTGACTTATTGATGAATGGATGAATATTTACTTTTTGGTACGTAGTATTGGGTTAAAAGAATTATGTGTATGTGTTAAGTGTATGGAAATAAAAAACTATTTATCATAAAAATATATATATATATATTGCCCCAGTGTTACTTTATATCCTTTATATTATAATAATCATTGTAATAATAATAGTGGATATAAAAGCGTCAAACGGGGCATCTATTGAATCATTGGAATCTTTAATCAGCTTTGTTCAAATAACTAATTTTTTCTTGTTTGAAGGAACAAAAAAGGATTTCATACAAACAGAAAAAATTTTTTTATAATTATTATAAATCTTTATTAATAACAATTTTAGAATATTTGTAAACAGTTGTTTTTTTTTTTATTCTGGAAATTGACTGCAAATGATATGTGTAAACAATTTTTATTTGTCTGAATGTTCAAATATAACAACTTTCATTTTTTAAAATCTAAAATCTATAAATAAATAAATTATTATTATAATTTAACCTTCCAGCCATTTCTCCATAAAATTAAAGAAACGAAAATATTGGTAAGCATATAAAGTGATAAAATTATTTCTGCTACTAAATCACTTGTATACAAAGTTTTTGTTGAAATATTAATTAATCCAGTCAAAATATTTGCCTGTTAAAATATCAGTAATTAATTATAAATAAATACGTTGTCAAATATTAATAAAACATTATTTTTTTTTACTTACGATTAAAAATATAAATAAATTATTTTCATTAATTGATTCAATTATATTCGGCAATATTTTATAATTTTCATTATTTTTATTGAATTTCCACCATTTATCGAAAAATGAAATCTCAACTAATTGAAATAATGACAGAAAACTTGTATTAAAACTTAATATCCAAAATATATAACTCAAATTTGCCAATTTTCTACTGATCTCAATTTTGATTCCAATACACAATAAAAATCCAATCCAGAATAATATTGACCATGACATTAAAATCAATAATAATTTGGTGGGTTTAGGAAATTTTTTGTTTTTTCTGTTCATTTTAAATGCATAATATGGATCTGGAGGTAATATATAATGTCCAATATCCAATGAAAATAAAAATATTGATAGATACCCTAGAAAAAATAAAATTACATTTAATCCATTTACAATAAACAATACTTATAATTAGTTGATTAATAAATATATTATTTATTTTTTAACTACCCCAAAAACTAGATAGTCCTTCTTTATTATCATTGATTAAATTTATTCTAGGTGCATTTTGTATATATTCTTCTAATCCAAATTTCGATAAAACTATTTGGTACACTAAATAAACAATAAACATTAATCATATAGTATTTTGATTTTGTTAATATTAACAACAACCAATACTGTATTTATGTATAGAATGCCTACAAATTGCAATAGTCAATCCAACTATGGAAAATCTTGTGTATTTTTGAAAAGTTCTACACAATGTTACAAAAATCGGTAGAAATCCAAGTGTAAAAAAGAAATTCCAATGTTTCCCATATTCAGTGACATGTTCCTACATAACATTTAATTAGTCAATAAATGTATTATTAATAAATGTATTCAATATTTAACTGATGATTATATTAACCTGATAATCTGATGATTTAACAGCGATTAATCTCAATATCCCAAGCGCCAGAATTGGCAAAGAATGTTTAACTGCTGCAACTAATTGTCCTTTCATTGGTTTAAATCGGTTTTCTGGTTTTTTCAAAAATGGTTTTGCTGATACAATTCCCGATGAAAATACAAATGATCCGACTCCCAAATCCATCTAAATAATAATATATGCATATAAATTAATCATATGCGCATACAGCATACACATGCACACGCATTTAAGTATCTTTAAAAAATCTTCACCAAGGATGTTCCATAATCTTCAACTTTTGCAAATCTTCTAGGAAATACTTTGAAATCTACTGCTAAAATACATATACAAGTTAAAATTACCATACTAGATCTATAAGCTGTGAGGAATGGTTTTCTATAAATATAAATATTTTTTTTTTTTATATATTTTTCATTCATTAAATAATCATCATCGTCATCTTTTTCCTTTTTTCCTTCCAATTTTTCATTATCATCATCAATAACTATTATTCCACCACCACTATTGCCACCATTATCATTAAGCCCCTTTTTATTAAGCAATAAATTTTCATTTTCGTCATAACTATTATCATTATCAATTTCTTCCTCATCTGAATCTTTTTCCCATGGTTGTTTTTTCTTTTTTGGCTCTTTATTTTTTGAATATTTACTGGAGATCAAAAATGATATTATTATAAATAACAAATTTAAATAAAATGTATATGATGATAAGATTGTACATGCTAATATGCTTGGCAATACTAAAATCAAAAATTCCAAAATAATAATGTTTATGGTTTTTGTAATTAATGAATTTGTTGCTGCTTCAGAATTATTATAGTTGAACAATATCGCCAATTCACTTTTTGAAATTGCTGACCATAATATATATGATGTTAATAAAACTCCTGTAATAGAATTAATTTCCAATATTGATCCTCCACTATGCCCACTGACCCAATTCTCTTTCTCTTTTTTATAATCCATTTTCAAACATTCGAATGAATATTGGCATAATTAATTTCACATGTAACACAAAATCATACTGCTTATTTTTTTTTTCTACATAATAATAATATAATATAGGATAGATACTTTCTATTTCCCCTTTACTAGAAATCTTTTTTTAGATAAAATACTAAAATTTATATAATAAAGAAAGATGAATGATATGCATTTAATGTAATAATCAATAGAAAAACAAATAAATTTTCATCCCAAAAATATATATTAATACATACATATATATATGTGACAAATTAATCAGTTTAATAAAAAAAAGATTATAGATATTTGCTTTGCTTAAGAATAATTTAATAGGAGTTTAATAATAATAATAACAATAATAATAATAATCATCTTGGCTAACTTGATTCATAAATACATCTTAATTTTTTCAACAGCTTCTATCAAATAATCTATTAAATCGTTAAAAAAATATATATTTAAAAAGTTATCATTGCAATTTATACACATAAATACTATACACAAGTTATACCTAAATATCTATACGAATATAATATAAAACATTGCATTTATCATCATCATCATCATCATCATCACCATCACCATCACCATCGCCATCATTACTCATGGATCCATTTGAAGTGAGATTAGAATTTATAAGTTGCTTAAAAAAACTCAATGCGTCACAACCTTACATCAGAAAATGTGTAAAATATGCAATTCAAAATAAAGGTTGTTACGAAGATTTACATAGATGTATATTGGAAGTTATGGATCAATTTACCATCTTGCCACGATTGAATTTGCTTTATTTCATTGATGCTTTATTAGAGAATTCAAAATCTATAAATTTCAAAGGATATATTGAACTCATTAGACAGGATTTAAATAAATTAATTTTGGATGTTACAAGTGGACCAAATGGGGTTATTAATATTACTAACACTAAAAGAATTTTATTGGGTTGGAGGAAAAAAAAATATTTTGATAAGAAAGTTTTGGATGAGGCAGAGGAAATATTATTAGACAAAAAAAATTGGTTTAATAGAAATTCTATCAATACTAAACACAAAAACAACAACAACAATAATCATAATGATAATAATATGGATATTGATGTTAATAATAATGACAATATTAATGATCAAAATAATATTGATAATGGTGACAATAACAATAATCAATCACAGCCATTACAACAACTACAGCCATCACAACTATCACCACCACCACCACCACCACCACCACCACCACCACAACAACAACAACAACCACCACCACCACCACAATCACAATCACCACAACCACAACAACCACCACCACAAGAACAACAATCACCACAAACACAACCATCACAACAACAAGATCAAGATCAAGATCAGTTACAATCACAACAATCATCATTTATGTTAAATAATTTATTAAAGTGTGATATACTTAAACGAATGGAGGAGGATCGTGAAAGATCTAAACATGTTAGAGAAGAGATATGGCAAATTGATTATTCAATCCCAAATTTTGAAGCTGAAATATTATGGGAATCTACTTCAGATTTAGATGAAAATGATTTTGAGTGGATAAGAATTCAAAATAAAAAATATTTCCCTAATTATACTTGGAAAAAAAACTTTGGATTAAATGAAAACTTTGAAAAACAAGAAGAACAAAATTTTCTCTCTACTAGTAATCACTCACCAATTAGTTGATTAATAATTGATTAGTTTAGGAAAAAAATAGATAAATTAGAATATAAGTTTTTAATTAAAATATTTAAAAGAAAAAAACCAACTATTAATAATTTAGTTTTTCTCAATTTAGAATATTCATTTAAAAATAAACTAACAATATTATTATTATTATTTAAAAAAAGATACATCATTAAAGAGGTATCGGATTTGTCATATTAAAAAAACCATCATTCTGAGGTCAAAGAAGTTATAGTTAAAAAGAAATTTTGAGCAACATTATGAAAGAATTGGGATCTATTTCTTGTGATTACACAACAAAATAAAAGGTATTAAGGTTATTCTTTCACCTAAATAAGTAATAATAAAAGGATATTGAAAGCCAGAGCAATCTTATATCACTAATCAGAATCATACACACCTTGGAGCAGGCGCTCACTATCAATCAGGATGGCATTAGTTTTATAACTATACATCTAAAATCATTGAACCACGCTCGTTAATTTTAGAAATCTAAATATGATTTAATATTAATTTTATATTATTTCATTATTCAGTTATAATTTATTTTTAATAGTAAGAATTTTTCTCAAAATGTAAAAAATAATTTATTTTATCATCATCATTGTTGTTAAAAGGGTTAAAATTAACTCTGTGTACACTAATAAACCAACTAACCAACACTAAAAAAATCACATATAACGATTATCTGAAATATTCTATTAAAAAAATAATAATACGTATATAAAAATACAAAAATATAAAAATAAATCGAGAGGATTCTCCTTACAATAATAATGGATGTCAATATGTCTGAAAATAACAAGAAACCAAGCTCCTCCAGTTCTCCTGTAGTTGCAGTTAAAGAAGAATCAAGCAGCACTACCGAAAATAAACCATCACCATTACCATCATTACCATCATTACCACCATTACCACCACAGCCAACACTGCCACCAGAATTAATAGAACCAATACAACCAATAGAACCACGATCATCATCATCTTTACAAACAAACAAAATAATAACTGTTGTTTCTTCTCTTCCAAGCATGTCAAGTTGTATTGGATCTTTTACAGAGTTTCTTGAAGAACACAAAAAATCATCAATTGAACCACAGGATTTTGTCAAAAATCAACAACAATCTTTTTCTTTTTCTCCAGCTCAAATTGATTATACTAACCATAAGTACCTGGGTTGTTCCTCGATAGAAGATTATGAACTTACCGATAAATTAGGTGAAGGGACTTTTGGCGAAGTACACAAAGGAATTCATAAAAAAACGAAAACAGTCGTTGCCTTAAAAAGAATACTAATGCATAATGAAAAAGAAGGGATCCCGTTGACAGCGATTCGTGAGATCAAGATTCTGCGTCAGCTGAGCCATCAAAATATTGTCACTCTTTCCGATATGGCTATATCTTACAATCATGAAGGACAAGGAACCCCACCAATTTATATGGTTTTTCCTTACATGGACCATGATTTAGCCGGACTTATTGAAAACAGAAGTGTTATTTTTTCTGCTCCTCAAATAAAATGCTATATGAAACAGTTATTAGAAGGAACCTTCTACCTTCATCAACAAAAAATAATGCATCGTGACCTGAAGGCAGCGAATTTATTAATTGACAACAATGGGATATTAAAAATAGCCGATTTTGGTTTATCAAGACCTGTGAGGAATAAGATATTGACCGGTTGTGTAGTCACTCGCTGGTATCGTGCACCTGAATTGTTATTAGGTGAAAGACAATACACCACCGCAATTGACATGTGGGCCATTGGCTGTGTTTTTGGAGAGATACTTATGAAAACACCTATACTGATGGGTAATTCAGATATTAACCAGCTCGAACAAATATTTAAATTATGTGGTTCCCCGACAGAAGAGGATTGGCCAAGTTTTAAAAAATTACCAGTTGCATCTGATATTGCTTTTCCAGATTTTCCAAGAGTAGTCTTTCATGAATTTGAGCCGTAAGTGCTCGTTCTATTTATTATTACCAATCAATTAATCAACTAATCTATTACTTTATTATTTCTATAGTAGATTTGGTACTTTGGCTGCAGAGCTTATAGACAAATTATTAGTGTTAGATCCGGAAAAAAGGTTAAGTGCTTATGAGGCTTTGGAACATGATTATTTTTGGACTAGTCCTCTTCCTGCTGAACCATCAGACATACCTAAATATGAATCTAGTCATGAATACAACTGTCGTAAAGCAAAGGATAGAAGAAAACAACATAGAGCTCATGTAAAAAATGATAAGGATCGTCCTACTCGTAATAATAATAATGGTCAACCTGGTGGTAATGAACCACGCCACAGAATCAATCCTTCTACAAATAGAAAAAGAGTAGCGCCTGCTAATGATGATGGTGGTCCCAAGAGGCGTTGCGAAACAAGAACAATACATCCATTACCTGAAAAGCCTGGTGCAATAGCAAAAGTTTCAGGAGGATCTATTCAAAAACTGAATAAAAGAAAATAATTACAATTTTATATACATTAATTATTATTTTTTTAATAAACGTACTGCTGCGATGTTTGGCAAACATTTATTGTTTTCAAATAGTTCGATTCATCTTTAAATAAATAAATAAATAAAATTTATGGGTTGTTTTTGTCATTAATAGAGGTATCCTCAACCCGACCCAATTAAGTACAAAACATTTATATGTCTGCGAGCCTTAAGAATTCTCGGATTTTTTATCAAGACATTTTACGCGATAAATCACGTTTAAGAAACTTTATTGGCCGAAAAAAATTTATTGCCCGTTTTTTTTAATTTGTGAATTGACTTGCTTCAAGGAATATATCATATACCTACCTTTACAAGGAAAAAGAAAGTACTTACTTTCTTAACTAATAAATGATATTTGAAACCTTTGATTAACTTCTCTCCACCTTAGCCTTTAAGCCTTTATTTACTGCTACGAGTCCGCCTATAGCTTATTATTCTACTTCTACCCTTTCACCTGTTCCTAATTCTCTGCAATCTCAATATTCACTTGGACCCTTGAATGTTCACTTAATGATATAAATCGCTCTCAATCAAATCGTAATTATGGTAAAGGAATCCTGTTTATCCAATGGATGTATTTATATTCACGGATTACAACTAAGGTTTCTGGTCGAAACCACCTCTCTTAGTAGCCGAAATTGCCGAAACACTCATTGAATATTCAAAATTTCTTACCACAAAGTCAACCATCTTCTCCACGCTGAAAGCAACAACTGTAATAATAATGATAACAATAACAAATTTAATTCAATGATAAATTCCTCAAAATCCACACAGTTCTCTCAATTGCATTATCTAAAGCTCGATCAGAAGTTATAGATATTTAAATAAATTAGAATGGAAAAAATATGCAGTCTATCTTGATGTGGTGAATTCTCATGCTGCAATCATTGTTAGAAATATATTGCTAGGTAAAGAAAACATTTTGTAGAATAAGTATTTGTTTCATAAACATAAACATTATTATTATGAGTGTGAGAAAAAATTTTTATTTTATTTATTTCTACTTATTAATAGATAAATATATAGAGAATTTAGAAATTTTTATTATTTATTGTATATAATATATACAAAAATAATGATAAAGAAAAACAATTTTAAAAAGAATATTTTTAACCAAACAAATCCAAACCCATATCATCATCTGACTCTTCTTCAGGTTCCTCTTTAGCAGCTTCTTTTTTAGTATCAGTAACTTCAGTTGTAGCAGTTGTTGTTGTTGTTGCTGTTGCTGCAAATGCACTTGGATCCTTAAGGTATTCTTTAATCTATTGTTTATTTTATTTTGTAAATTAATATTATGTAAACATTTTTTTAAAAAGCGAAAAAAGAAAGAGTGAAAGGGCGAGGAAAGAAAAAGGTTGTTTGTGTGTGTAATATAATAAAAATAAAAATTAGAAAGATTTTTAGTCATTTTATATAAATATATTTTTCTCTTTATATATAATATATCTCATATATCAATTATTAATTACACCATAATAAATAAACAAATAAACAATTTACCTTTTCAGAACCTGGGAAATCATATTCTGTTGCAAGTGAAATAGCCAATAAATTCTTATAAGAATTAATAAGTGAATGAGGTACAGAAGCAATGGTAGGATAGTTTTTGAGGGCCAATGAAATCGAAGCAATACTTTTAATACTGCTCAGCAAATGATCGATCAAAGTTGATTCCTCAATATCAAGTACAGAAGGATGAAATGTGGTACCATTATCATAAATTTGAGTGATGGTTAAACCATAGGTAAATGGTGATATATTCAACTTGTTCAACAATGTAGCTTCTGATGCACCAACTTTAGTCCCAACTTTAACCAAATGTACATCATTGATGATTTCAATGGTACCACGAGAAATTTTGGTTGGAACTCCAAGAGCTTGGAAAAAGGCTGTATTACCAGGCTCCATACCTGTATTACCAGCAGGAACGAATACATCAAGAGGTGCTATTGCTCCTGCTCTAGCTGGTGCTCGGACCTAAATTATATATATATATAATATTCATTATTCATATATAATGTTATATATAATATTAATATTTCAGTACCTTATTTGATAAAATAACTTCTCTGGTTTCTTTAAGGTCTTCTTTAGTAAAAACGAAACCAATATTGCCTTTGATATGAGGAAACAATTTTTCATACTGAGGATTTTCAGGAACAAAAGTTTTCAATGCCTTCCTAACCATTGTGTTTTTACCCATCAAGATTGTAGCTTTATTACGAAGAGCATGGCGAATCTGATGCATTTGATTGGAGCCAACATTGTCAACATTTACAATAAAAATTGATGGATATTCTTCTAATAATTCCTTGAGTTTATCAAAATATTCTGCCTTTTTGGCGCGACCGTCTCCCTTTGACATCTTTTGAAATTTTTATTCAACGTGTTCAAGGGGATCCTATTATTGGAAGCTTAAAGACAAGTCTGCACTCACACAAAACATATTAATATATAAAAAATAAACGTTCTAATTAATCAATTGGCTGTAAAATTAATCGTATAAATATTAACAAATTAAATAAATTAAAATAATTAAATAATACATTACCGCAAAAACGTTATTTGCGAGTTTGGTTATAAATAAAAAGAAGAAAAAAAAAATTAAGTAAAGATAGAGATGGATTTAATATTTTTTCTCCCCTAAAAAAAGATTTTTAATTAACCAATTAAAATGTTCATGATCACATTTTACATGAAAAATAAAAATTTTTTTTTTCAAAAATTTTCAAAAATGCCGCTTTTAACACCTATTAACTTTCTTTCATGGCTAAAAGAAAATGAACATAAATTACAACCACCAGTTAATAATTTATTGATACAACGTGGCGATTTTATTATAATGGCGGTTGGAGGACCTAATGCCAGAACTGACTATCATGTAAATCAAACAGAAGTAAATAAAATATATTAGTAGTCGTGATGGAATTTGCAGTTATGTGACTTTCTTAAGAATCAATAGAAATTTGTTTTTTTTTAAAAAAAATGGATAGGAATGGTTTTATCAATATAAAGGTGATATGATTTTGAAAGTTGTTGAAGATGGCCATGTGTTTAAAGATATTCCTATCAAAGAAGGTGACATGTTTTTATTATCAGGTTGGTAATTTTAACTATTTGATATTTTTTATTGTAGAATACTTTTTTAATATTTATTTATATAATTATATGCTAGCAAATACACCACATAATCCCGTTCGATTTGCAAATACAATCGGGATAGTGATTGAAAGAAATCGTCGTCCTGAAGAAATTGGTAAATATATTTACATTTTTTATTTCAATATAAATGGATAATATTAATTGCAATTTTCTTCTTTTCATAATAGATAAATTACGATGGTATTGTGAGGAATGTAAAAATGTTGTATATGAAGAAAGTTTTCATTGTTATGATTTGGGTACTCAATTAAAACCTGTAATCGAAAAATACGCAAAAAATGAAGATTTAAGACTATGTAAAAAATGCGGCCATTTGAATTCTGCAAAATAGATTTATTAAATGGTTTTTTTTTTTTTTTTACACCTATTACTATATGCTAATTAAAATCTTGAACCCTGTAAATTTTTTAAGTTTGCACCCCATACATGGAGCCTCAAATTTATTATTATTATTGATCTACCAGGGGCGGGTCCAAGCCACATCTGCCCGTCCTCCTTCTTTTTCTATTAAAAAAGGACGGTGATGATGGTACGGGTGTTCTGCAAAATCATATGGTGCAAGTCACCTAGTCCCGCAACTTGCTGCGCCTCGTGGCCAATTTTGGGAAAATCATCAAAACTCAGAATTTGTAAGTTATGCTCATAAATGCAATAAAATTTTATATCACGTGACCTTTTAATGATGATACAAATTAAAAAAAATATTTATATATTAATATATAACATTGCTAAAAAAAATTTTCCTTCTTCATGTGAAGAAGCCAATGCTCCTGCGGAGAGCATTCTTTGAGAGCTTTGCCCTCAAAGAATTTTTG